TTTTTTTAAGAAAAAGAGTGAGCAAAGTCAAGTGAATGAATGCCTTGATTTCATTGCTCTCTAAATTACTACAAAAGTTAGAAACCAAACCCTTTTTAGTGAGTCTACTCTAACTCACGCCAACCCTATGGGACAGACGAGAAGTGCCCTGTAGGTTTTTTAAGGGTATAATCTTTATGGAAACTAACACATGAGCAGCTGGTGAGTGTAAACAGTTTGACTAAATGACAGCATAATCATAGCTCCTTGTTTGAGTTACTAAATTACCAAAAGAAACAGGAGCAGGAATTGAAATATACACTTTAGTACGTTGCTTGGTTATTCAACCCATTACAATCGTTCAGTCCTAATACATTATTTCATTCCGAGCCATTGTAAGATTATTTTTTTTTACCTCTCACAATTTATTAAGCAGCTTAATAATGCACAAAGATAACAGAGAAGAAAATATTGCTTGAAATTCATATAACATAGCTGATATTAACATTCAAGAAGAAAAATGTCAAGATTAAAGATAATTCAGGAAATGATGCTTGAGACAACAAATTTCTTACCTCTGCGTTTGGGTCGCATAGCTGTTATCATAAGCCTCATAAGTCTGATCATCATATTCACCTCCATAACCGTCATCATACCCCTAAGGCAGAAAATGGTAGAAAGACTTATTAGCAAACAGTATAATAAACTTTGATGTCTTCTTGGCTGCTGAGATTGTGCAATGGAGCACTGGTTTAGTTTTATGTTGGTTAAGCTATTGCAAATTGCATTTTATTAATCATCCCGCATAATCATGATTATTCTTTCATTAATCAAATATTAATGCTTGTTAATTTAACTCAGCATGTTCCTGAAATAACAATACCTTATCTGGTTACTGTTGATACTTGATAGTTTAAAGTGAAGACTATTTAAACAAATAAATTTTTCTCTTTAAAATAGTAGGAGTAAATAGGAACAATCTTGACAGCCTAGTAGGGTTAACATATTTATCCTAAAACATAGTTGACAGAGTTTATTTCTTCTTTGCTTAGTAAAAAATTAATATTCATATTGTAATCATGCAAGTAATTATTCCTAAACTAAGGCGAATTTCCAGCAAAGAGAATGTAATTCTTAATTAAAAAGGAAGATTGCTAAGAACCACAATAAAAAGTTATTAAAATAAAAAAAGATAAAAAACAAAACATCCACACAAGAAAAGGAAAAAAGACAAGGAAAAGAATACATGAATGAAATAGGTTTCATTTTTTGTGGAGTCTATGATTTTAAAATCCTCTAAATAATATAATATTCTATTGTGAGTTTGATTTTCTGCCTAAAAAAATCTAATTAAATGAACATAGATTTCTTTATGCAGAATGTGGAAGCTGACTAACAATTATGCACTCCATCTATCAGTCACTCTGTGAGTGATTTAGCTGGATTTCCCTGTGTGCCATTGACTTCATGCTAAACCTTGGCCATCTGTCTTGATTACTCCCTGCTTCTGAACAAACCTTCGTTTCTGCCTCTGGGACTCTGCTGTGACTCTCTCTATTTGGAACATACTTCCCTTCCTATCTCAGTAATCCATAACTTCATTTCAGTCTAGAGGTTTATAAATCTTTGCTTTATCTCGCTCAGAAATTTAAGCAGAAAACGTCTAGTTGTAAAAGCTTTTGCATTAATCTAACCTAAGGGAGTTCTAGCAGCCTAGGGTAAGGAGCTGAGCTGCCAACCCAAAGGGAGGTGGTCTGAATCCACCAGGTGCTCCACAAGAGAAAGATGCACAGTATCTTCCCGTGTGATTTACATCATCACAAAACCCACTTCAGAGTCAACTATGCGTCCATTTCAACTCGACAGAAAATAACAGTAAGACTTTTGAGCCCATTTAACTTGAAGGTTAAATTGTTTGCATTAACTCAAGGAAGTATTTATTATCCTTTTTGATGAGTCTGACTCGGAAATCTTGTACACAAAGAATATACAGTTATGTTAGGTAAGACTATAAATTAAGAAATAAGAAAAAAAAATAATAAAAAGGATAATGTGATAATGGTTACCCCATGGTGGACAGGGTTTGGTGGAGCTCCCTGATTAAAACCAGCTTGGAAGCACGAGTGGTATCCATTTCTGAAATAGCTTGCCTTTGGAAACCCTATGAACTTGGAGAACCGATGAAGGTTATACAAGTGTTCAGGTCTTTCTTTCATAGGGTCGCTATGAGTCATCTACGACTCAACGACAATTAACAACAACAACAACCATATATTAGCTCTACCGCATGAGATGATATCCACATTTGCTCTTTGAATGTCCTATTTCAGCTTTGTGTGGTGATTAAAATAAAATACTGTAATTTTAAACTATCTTGGAGATACTACCTCTTCAGTTTCAGAATACCACACACAAAAAATGAGGATTGTAGTAAAATGAGTTACACTAAATTTGATTTTTCAGTATATCTACAGGTTACATTTATAATACACATTCATCTATCTCACTTGTTATATGTCCTGGGTTATAACTGACTCATAGCGGATCTTCTAGTATGTTTTCAGAGGCTGTAAAGTCATGGGAGGAGGTTGCCCCTTTCTCCCTTGGAGCAGATGGTAGATTCAAACTGTCTGCCTTTGGGTTGGTAATGCAGCTCCTTACCCACTAGGCCACCAGAGCTCTCTCCCCCCTTTTTTTTTTCCATCTAGACTACCCAATTGGCATTTTGTCTCATTTGCATGGCATGACTCACAGTGACCTTATAAACAAGTTAAAACATTTCCTGATCCTGTGTCATCCTTACAATCTTAACTACTTATCACTGCAGACACTGCCAATCCACCTTGTTGAGAATTTTCTGCTCCTTTGTTGAGACCAAGCATCAAGCCAAGAAGTTGCCTCTCCTGATCATCTCACAGTATATGAGATGAAGACTCATCATCTTTGTACCTTGGTTGCACTTCTTCCAAAACACATTTACTTGTTCTTTTGACAGTCCATAATATTATTACTAAAACAAAAATAATTTATTTTTTAAAAAAATTATTTTTATTGATATTTTAATGAAAGTTTATAGAAAACTTGGATTACCAAGCATTCATTGTTGCACCTTTTCCTCCTTACTCCCTATCCAGTTCTTTCTTCTCTTTAAAAAGATTCTTTCATTGTTGCACAATTTCCTTCCTCACTTACTATGCACTTCTTATTCTGGGTGGTTCTTATGTAAATAATACATAGTTATATATTCCTTTTAAACAGTCTTTTCCTCATCTATTTCATTGCAGGGTTCATTATTTATCCCCTCTTTTCTTAGTTTCCCTCTAACCTCATGTCTGTCCTGTTTTACAACAGTGGCTTTATGCCGTAATTGTCCTTTTGTGACTGAGATATTTCATTTAGCATAATGCCCCCTACGGTCATCCATTTTTTATAATATTTTATGAGTTCCTTGTTTTCAGTGCTATGTAGTATTCCATTGTGTGAATATACCACAGCTTCTCTATCCATTCATTTGTTGATGGGAACTTGGATTGCTTCCATCTCTTTTGTAAGCAATGCAGCACCAAACACAGGTGTTCATAAAACAAGACTAATTTCAAAAGATCATCTGCTTTAAAGTATATATATCAATGAAAGTTCAATAGTTACTACAAATAATTCTATTATAACTAATTTTTTTAAAGAGAATATTGACAATCAGGCAGCATTCAAGACATGGATCAGGTTATTTTTTTTTAAGCTAGCACTGGACTTCAGACTTTTATTGCTCTCCCTAATATTAACTGTTCTGAGGGTCCTGATCAACTATTTTATAGTGTTCTACATGAGCAAATTGTATAGTTATTTTCATTATTATTTTAATATTATTATGTTCAAAAGAATACTATTTATGTGATATTTTATTGAACTTTTATATGTCTGGCCATTTTTTTTTCTCACCATGCAGGATTTAGAAGAGGCCGTGGCACCAAGGATATCATTGCTGATGTCAGATTGATGCTGGCTGAAAGAAGGAATACCAGAAGAATGTCTGTTCGTGCTTTATTGACTATGCAAAGACATTTAACTGCGTGAATCATTAGTTGTGGCTGACATTGAGAGGAATGGGAATCCCAGAGCCCTTGACTGTGCTCATGTGCAACCTATACCTGGAGAAGGTGGCTGTTTTATGAACAGAGTACGGGAACACTGGGTGGTTTAAAAATGAGTAGGTAGTATGTCAGGGTTGTATTCTCTCTCCATACTTATTCAGTGTGTATACTGAGCAAATTATTTGAGAAGTTGGACTCTATAAAAGCAGTGTAGCATCAAGATTGGAGGGAGACTCATCAATAACCTGTGTTAGGCAGATGACACAATGTTGTTTGCTGAAAGTGAGGAGGACTTGAAGCACTTGCTTCAGATGATCAAGGAATGCAGCCTTCAGGATGGATTGCATCTCAATGTCAAGAAGACAAAGTTTCTTACCACTGTCATGAAGGATGCAGAGGAAACTGAAACTGTCAACTGCTTCATCTTGTCTGCATCCACAATTAACACCTTTGGCAGCAGTAGTCAGGACTCCAGCAAATAAGGAGATGCATTGCACTGGGAAAATTGGCAGTTAGAGACATCTCCAAATTACTGAGGAGTAATGATGTCAGTTTGAGGACTACTAAGGTGCATCTGATTCAGGCTATAGTCTTTCTAATTACTTTTTATGCATCTGAGAGCTAGACAATGAATAAGGATAACCGAAAAAGAATAGATGCCTTTGAGCTGTGGTGTTGGAGAAAAGCACTGAATATCCCATAGACAGCCAAGAAAATGATGGAGTGCTTTTTGGAGGCAAGAATGATAAGGCTTTGCTTCACATATTGGGCATGTAGCTATGATGTGCTATTCCTTGGAGAAGGATGTGATATTAGGAAGGGTGCAGGGTCAGTGAAAGAGAGGAAAATCCTCAACAAGGTGGATTGACATGGTGTCTGCTGCAATAGTCTCTTGTGTGTCAGGAAGTGTGAAGATGGCACATGATGGAACAGGGTTAAGATATTTTTTTTTTCCCCCAGAGGGTCTCTATGAGTTATACTTGACTCAATGGCACCTAACAACAACAACAACAACAACAATTTTCACATTTGATTCAGAAGTTCAGCTTGAAACTCATTTCATTCAATGATATATCTACAAATGCCTAGTGTAAATTTTTATCAATACATCCAGTCTCTTAGCCCTCTGCAAAAATAACAGAAATGTAGCTTCATTGATCTCCACTTCTTATGCATAAATCAAGCTCTGTAGCTTCTAACAGGAGGTGATCAAGTTTTATTTTAATCTATTTTGGTTTTGGTTTATGTTGCAATTGCAGGGACTTAAAAGATGCTGTTCTACATGTAGGGATAGTTATTGACATTAGAGCTTTGTTGTTAAGAACTGTCAAGTCAAGTAGAATGCATTGCAATACAATGTGAAGAACATCTGAACCCTCTCCTATCCTGTGCCATCGTCACAGTCTCTGACTCACTCTAGGCCTTTGCTGCAGTCACTGTCAATCCCCCGGTTGATGGTTTTCCTCTCCTTCACAGTCCCCTCACCTTTCCAAGTATGACGTCTCTCTCCAAGAAAAGGCCTCTTCTAAAAACATGTCCAAAGTATGTTAGCACACTGACCAAACTA